TTTTTTATTTTTTTTTTTTTTTTTTTTTATTTATTTTATTTTTTAAAAAAATAAAAAAAAATAATTTATTTATTTAATTAAAATTTATTTTTTTTTTTTTTTTTTTTTTTTTTATTTTTTTTTTTTTTTATTAAATTAGGAAGGTATGGATTATTACGAGTTATTTCTTTTTTACAATTAATAAATTTAAAATATAGTTTTGTTTCAATTAGTATTAGATTAGTAGGAGGAGTATTAGTTAGATTAGTATGTTTACGTCAAACAGATTTAAAGGCTTTAATTGCTTATTCTTCAGTAGCTCATAATAACTTATTGAGGGTTGTGTGGTTTATACACTTTAATAATTGCTCATTGGTTATGTTCATCTGGTTTATTTTGTTTAGCTAATATTTCTTATGAACGGCTGGGAAGTCGAAGAATATTAATTAATAAAGGTTTATTAAATGTTATACCTGCTATAACTTTATTGTGATTTTTACTTAGATCTGCCAATATATGTAGCTGCCCCTCCAACTTTATGGAACAATGAAGCTATGCCGATTTTGCGCTGCATTTTGCCATCGTTTCTATGGCAGCTATATGATATTGTTTTCCGATTTTGACAAAAATAAAAGCGTGATTCTGATATAGTAAAAAATTACTATATCTTAAAAGAATATTTTAATAAATAGAGAAACAGCAAAATACAATTTTTCATTTTTATTTTTTTTTAATTTCTTGAGTTTTCTATGGGAGCTTTATGCTATAGATGTCCGATTTTAATTTAAATAAAACCGTAATTCCATAGCTATATAATATAGTCGCCCGATCCTGCTCGTTCCGACTTATATACTACCTGCAATAGAAACACAACTTTTTGGAAAGTTTCAAGCAGATAGCTTTAAAACTTAGGGACTAGTTTGCGTAGAAACGGACGGACGGACAGACGGACAGACAGACGGACAGACGGACATGGCTAGATCGACTCTCGTGGTGATGCTGATCAAGAATATATGTACTTTATAGAGTCGGAAATGTCTCCTTCACTGCGTTGCAAACTTTTGACTAAAATTATAATACACTCTGCAAGGGCACAAAAATATGCAAAGACCTAGAGGATTAAATAAATGGGTTTCAAATATCCTATATGGACCAACTCTCCCCAAACATCAAACGAAATATAAAGTGGAAAGCTAAATCAGGCATATAGCTACCAATTAACAAACAGGACAGTGGGCTCGCAGCAACGAAGAAAGACAAATACATATGAAGTCCATCTAGAAAACGTCTTTAAACCATTTTCACCAATAAAAAGCTTTGTGTTTCTAATAAACAACATTCCTGAAGTTACCCTGGTTATCATATTTCAATTTGGAAAAGTTACAAGTCATAAAGTCAGTATCTTATATGTATCAATAGAAAAAAAACGCAGAGCAACGGTTTTATCTCCCTTAAAATAATCATGGAATCGCCGAGCTTTGCGTTATATTTTTTCACCATAATATTAAGCAGCAGGATGAAATGGGGCTATTACTCTCAACAATAGACAAAGTTTGTCATCACAATGATCCATAAAGCTGAAAAAAGGAACAGTCCCATCCATCGTAATATAGCCCAATTAGACACCTGCCGTGCCATCAAATATATTTAAAAACTGCTACTGAATAGTATTAAACAACACCAACAATGTTTTCACAAGACACGAAACCGCTAAACATGTAAACCCGATAACCTCAGAGATACGAAATTCTAAAAGACTGAGCAATTCTGGATGTCGACCATTCTTTCAACCACGGTTGGATGGACTGTTTAATTCATAAAATCTACAAGTGTCTAATAAACGCACGTTAAAACTGGAGTACAACGTACTTTTATACCATGCAATTCTTACACCAATTTGGAATATGGCTCAGAGCTGTGGGAAAACGCATGCGCTAGTAACTTATACATAAATAATCCAGACAGCTCAATCAAAGATATTTTAAGCTATAACTGGGGCAACGTGGTTCATAGGGAATGAAAATAATATATAGGATCTGTTAGACGAAATCGACAATATTGAAGCAAGGTATATGATCAAGCTTCAGGCCCAGCGCAGTTTTTAATTTGGAACATTGGTCATACACTATTCCGGAGAAGAGACCCACCCATTTAGAGCCGTTTTCTAAAAAATTAAATAAATATATGAGATTAAGATTTGGCTACTTGTAGTACGCTTCTAAGAGAGGAAATAAAAGACACTAACAATATAAATAAATAAGGAAATTCGGCGGTTCTTTAAAAAAAAACAGTTCATTTGTGCAGTTACATTTTAACATATAACATTTTGATTTTTTATACCCTTGCAGAGGGCATTATAATTTTGGTCAGAAGTTTGTAACGCAGTGAAGGAGACGTTTCCGACCCTATAAAGTATATATATTCTTGATCAGGATCAATAGGGGAGTCGATATAGCCAGGTCCGTCTGTTTCAATACCGTTTGCGAGCTCAGTTTAAAAGCTAGCGTTCTGAAACTTTCACACTCGTCCTAAAACATGTGTACGCAGATCAAGTTTGAAAATCGTACGTCTATATCCTATAGCTTCCATAGGAACAATCGGATATATCTTGCAAGAATTGATGTTATTTCGCGCAGTGTAAAAGCTATTGACATGAATCTTTCCGTTCGGACGTCTATATCCTATAGCTCCCATAGGAACAATCGGATATACCTTGCATGAATTGGTGATATTTCGCGCAGTGTAAAAGCTGTTGACATGAATCTTTCCAAATCGTATTTTTTATACCCTTGCAGAGGGTATTATAATTTTGGTCAGAAGTTTGTAACGCAGTGAAGGAGACGTTTCCGACCCTATAAAGTATATATATTCTTGATCAGGATCAATAGGGAGTCAATATAGCCTTGTCGATATAGCCATGTCCGTCTGTCCGTCCGTCTGTCCATCTGTTTCAATACCGTTTGCGAGCTCAGTTTAAAAGCTAGCGATTTGAAACTTTCACAGTCGTCCTAAAACTTGAGTACGCAGATCAAGTTTGAAAACCGCCCCGATCGGATCAATCGGATACAACTTGCAAGAATGGAAGATATTTCGCGCAGTGTAAAACCTATTGACATACATTTTTCCAACTCTTACTTATTTACGCATATCTCGATTAGGGTAAAAACGCTTGCCGATCAGACATCTATATGTGTATTATAGCTTCCGTAGGAAAAATTGTTAAAGGCTGCGAAAGTATAAATTTTTTTCTATTTTTATATGGCATTTTTGCAGTATAAAAGCAATTGACATGAAACTATGCAAATCTAGTTTATTTATGTATAAATTATTCCTTTCGCTACCTTTTCAATTTTAGCAATTTCGGCAAAGTCTGCATGGGTATTAAAACTTCTGCCGAAGCTAGCTTCCGTCCTCGTTATATTCATAATTTTGTTCAGGGAAATATAATATGTATTTTTCTAGAAAAGCAGGATAAGTAGTAACATTCAAACTTTTATTTACTTTGACTGTTTGAAAGAAGCACATGTAGCCAAACAAGAAGCAAAATATATATAAAAGGAAATTATTTTGATAAGTAAGATTACGCAGTCAAAACTTTTTAGAAAACACACTTGCATGAAACTTTACTGGCTTGAAACTTTTTTTAACGTTAACTAAGATCCACGAAATCCGTGCGTTATCTATGTGAGAGAGCGAGAGGCAAACAACTTGTGAACATTTTTTGTCGGGCCATTTTCTAACCCTGGGACCCAGATCGACAAAAAAAATATCCGACAATTAAAATTAAATACCTAATAGAGCTCTAGGTAACGGTTCGTCCGACCTAGCGAAAATATTAAAAAATGGAGTTGTCTATTGTCAGAGCAGAAAGTTTCTTAGATCAAAAATGCACGGAAAAGCGAAAAAATAACACAAAAACCGCCTGCAAGAATTTAATGCAGCTATGAACTTTATCTTTGCCAAGTTACTTGAGAAAATCTGTTTAGGGCCCTTTCCTACAAATAAGTTTTTGAATTCTGACTGTTTGTCAACAAGCCCAGCTGATTGTCAGTAAGACCGTAGAACAATCATTTCTGATGAACTCTGAAATATCCGGCCACGCAGGAGAGATTAAATTTTTTCCGCTTGTAAACTTAATTTCAATAATTTTTATACCCTTGCAGAGGGTATTATAATTTCAGTCAAAAGTTTGCAACGCAGTGAAGGAGACATTTCCGACCCTATAAAGTATATATATTCTTGATCAGCATCACCACGAGAGTCGATCTAGCCATGTCCGTCTGTCTGTCCGTCTGTCCGTCCGTCCGTTTCTACGCAAACTAGTCCCTAAGTTTTAAAGCTATCTGCTTGAAACTTTCCCAAAAGTTGTCTTTCTATTGCAGGTAGTATATAAGTCGGAACGAGCAGGATCGGCGACTATATCATATAGCTGCGATATAACTGAACGATCCGAAAAACCATAACTTTGGTGTTTTTAAAGTTAAGAAGTTGGGATTTTCTATGGGTTTTATTTTTGGCCAATCAATCCGACATACCAAATTTCATAATGATCGGCCGACTATATCTTATAGCTGCCATATAACTGAACGATTGGAAATGCCATAATTTTTTTGTTTTTAAAATTAGGAAATTGGGACTTTTTATGAGTATTAAGAATGCATCAAATGAATAATTTTGAAGAATATAATTTACAGAATATTCTGCAAGGGTATATCAACTTCGGCTCCGTCCGAAGTTAGCTTTCCTTTCTTGTTTTAAAAGATATAAATTGGTGAAGTAAAATGTTTTTGACAATAAAATAGTTGTTCTATCTTTAAAGATGTTGGTTCAGTTAAGTTTCAGCATGTTAGAAAGAGAAAGCTCAACATTGTTGCTGTGACAACAATTAAGGTCGTCACTTCACATGTGTACACGAATTTATTTTACTTACATATATGTATATCGTTGATATTGTTATGAGAACAAGCACCGAAAAGTGTTACTTACAAAAACAAATATCCATGATACAACTAAGTACTTACTGTCAAAAAAGGTGCACCTGAATTCCAGAATAATATTCTTAACAAACAAATTAATAGAGCGACCACACAAATTATTATAACAATACGCTTTCGTGTCGGAACCATATCAACAATTAAGTATTGTATATTTCATATAGTTCCTCCGTTCCTTTTAGGGATGTCGGAAATATATCAATATATCAATATATCGATATTTTTCCTCTTAAAAAAAATATTATCATCGCGATATTTTTTGGGCAAAAAAAGGCGATATTGATATTTTTTGAGAGGATATTTCCGATATTTTATGTTTGGTCACTCTTAAAGCCTAGTACTCAAATCGACAAACGAGTATGCTATCGTAAAGCCTAGTACTCAGATCGACAAACGAGTACGCTACCGCAAAAACTTTAATCTTTCCAGTGTGACCAGCATATCGAGAGTTCTTCAGAATTAAGCGTGCTACGGTCGTACTGTCAGTCAGCTGAGTTTGTTGACAAATATCGTATTTGAGGGAAAGAGCCTTTAAAAGATATTATCAACTACCTTGGCAAAACAATTCTGCCGCTGTACAAAGAAATTAAAAAACAATAATATTTAAATTTAACAGATGTTTTTTTTAATTTACTGATAATTATTTGCTAATTTAAAGTTCCTAGCTGCACTTTTATTGTGTTTTTCGTAAATTTTTGATCTAAGAATTATTTGGCTCTGAGAAGAGGCACCCCAGATAGTATTAATGTTGTTTTGTCCTCACATGTAAACTCCTGCAATCGACTTTTGTGAGTTTTTTGAGTTTTTCCCTCCATTTCTTATAATGTTCAGTGAGAAGCGCACGCCAAAAGATTAAAGCCTAGTATCCAGATCGACGAAAACCGTACGCCAGTCATGAGAGAGAGCGAGAGGCAAACAGCTGGCGTTCACTTTTCGTCGGGCCTTTTTTTCACGTCGGTCCCCTGATCGACGAAAAAAATACCAGAAAATTCCATAGCGTTGCCACTCTGCGGAAATGAACTTTGGGTAAACTCTAGCGAAAAGATTAAAAAATTTAATTTTTTGGCGTGCGCTTACATTATAAGAAATGGAGGGAAAAACTCAAAAAACTCACAAAAGTCGATTGCAGGTGTTTACATGTGAGGACAAAACAACATTAATACTATCTGGGGTGCCTCTTGTCAGAGCAAAATGTTATTTAAGTCCAGAATGTACGAAAAAACACAATAAAAGTGCAGCCATGGACTTTAAATTAGCAAATAATTATCAGTAAATCAAAAAAAAACAACTGTTAAATTTTAATTGTTTTTTAAATTTTTTGGACACCGGCAGACTTGTCTTGCCAAGGTATTTGAAAATATCTTTTAAAGGCTCTTTTCCGCAAATACGATATTTGAATTTTAACTGGTTGTCAACAAACCCAGCTGATTGACAGTACGACCGTAGCACGCTTAAATCTGATGAACTCTCAAAATTTTGGTCACACTGGAAAGATTAAAGTTTTTACGCTAGCGTAATCGTTTGTCGATCTGGATACTAGGCTTAACAAACAAACGTTATAGTGTAGAGACAAGAAATGTCACTTTGTTATGGAACTGCATTTGGTCCTGGGACGGCGCCGGCTAGCTCCCGAATCCCCAGGGCGGAGTATCCCCAATGTCCCTACAGATTCCACAACATAAACATCGATATACGCGCGTCTCACTTCACAAAAACTATCGCTCATCACTAACAAACAAAACAAACCAAAATGTAAACAATGCAAACAATTAGGAGTGACGGGAAATATATGGTGTTTTGGTGGCTATTGGTGACCTAGCCAAGCACGCCCACCCAACCAAGGATGCCCCGGAGGATTCTGCGGAGGCATCACCCATGATCAGCTGGTCCAAGTCACTCCTCGCGACTAGGACAGCTCCATCTCCCCCACAACGACAACTCACTCGTACATTTCAGTCTTCATGTACATTTAATATCCACAGTAAGTACTGAAGTTAACATAACTTGTTCTCCTAGTAATTAACTCATCTTTCCTTAGCCTTTACGACCAAACTTGGCCACCGTCTACAAATTTACGCGGTCAAAGCGGAAGATTACCTTCCTTTGGCAAAGGCTACAGGCGCCGCGGAAATAATGTTCCACCTGACATGTATTGGTGGAACTCGCAGTGGAACGAGGCGCAAAAAAGGGCACACACTAGGTATGTGTCGGGTCACCTAATCCTGAGGAGCTCCTAGGGAAAAGAAGGGACAGGCCAAACGGTAAGTATTACGCGCTGTAAACAATCCCGCCGAAAACTAATAATCGCGACCCTTTTTTACAGGCAACAACGAGGACAAGAATTGAGGTTTTCGGGTCTAAGTCCGGATAAATTTACAAGTCAACAGGTAAGTACATAAATTTAGTAATGTGCACAGTTAAATTAACGTTAATAATTTCAGCCACTTCTGGGCTAGGCGCCGGGCTAACTATGCCCCGACTACAGCGTACTCTGCCGGAGGCCAGCGCCAATAAGGGCCTGTAACACCCGGAGGAACGGTGGTTAAGGAAGGGATAGATGGCGGTGCCTCTCAACGCCGCGCGCACTGGCAGCCTGACGACCCCAAAGCAGGTGGGTCTTAATAGCCCGGAACGGACTCACCGGCGTGTATAAGAAAGCGTTGGCGGCGTCCGAGGATGACGAGTTATGGTGTCCAGATCTCGTAGCTGGCTCGACCGAAGGTGCGTATTTTCCTGATTTTCCCGATTTAATTTCCTCCAATTTAAAATCACGATTTATTTCCAATTTGATTTTCCAGATTTAATTCCCTCCAATTTGAATGTCCAATTTGAATTTCCAATTAGTCCAATTTTATATGTCCAATTAAGTCTTCTAATTTTAACTTCCAATTTAAATATCCCGGGGCCCTTTGTATTGGGACCCCGGTTGCCCTACGAATAATTATTTATAAATAAAATAAACTATTAAACCTAACACAAATTTTTCTAACACTCACTTTTTTTCTATATTTCGGCACAAACACTACTTCGACATTTTTATGTTCTGTCTGCTGGGACAATATGGCTGCGACTATATAAAAATTTGCCTATCATGCCTATATCTCGCCATATTCCCTTCGCCTCTCTCGAAATTGGGTCATTGGACATATCAAGGCCATCCTAGCCATACCCAGAGCGAACCGGGCTAGTTTAAATAGCTAGATAGCCAAGACATCAGCAGAAGGGGGCGCCACTCCAGTAGGAGTTGCCACCCTCCTACTTTATCGATAGCCCTACCAAAAACGAATACCTCCTTCTTAATTCATCCAGCCGATTCCAACTCGAAATGCAACAACTTGGTACGCATTTAAGTCTTTTACACTGACTGCCATAATTTAGGATCCGACATATGTATTTGTATGTTGCATTTTAAGTTGGAATCGGCTGGAAGAAACAAGAAGGAGGTATTCGTTTTTGGTATCGATAAAGTTTGGTGGGTGGCAACCCCTACTGAAGTGGCGCCCCCTTCCGATCATGCCCTTGGCTATCTAGCTATTTAAACTAGCCCGGTTCGCTCTGGGTATGGCTAGGATGGCCTTGGATTCGTCCAATGACCCACATTTGGGAAAGGGAATATGGCGTGATGAGCATGACATTGCGTAGGTCAGGAATCGGGTTTAGTTGCTGCCGGAGATCAAAGCAATGTAGACGGAGTTCTTTCTATTTTTTTTGTTTCATTTGATACAAGAAAAAGTAAGGGTGCGAAAAGTGCTGGTGACGTGTGGAAATTAAGTGGAAATTTATTTATTTTAGGTCCACCGGGGACCCTAGTACAAGGGCCCCGGCAGGTTTCTTTGATTTTCTTCGTTTTTCGCAAATTTCTCGGAGGAAGGGCAGCTGCCCCTCGTGGTAGTGCTCAGCCACCAACAGCAGCAGGCAGCAGCGACAGCCACCGGAAGCTGCAACAGCCGCAGGCAGCAGCAACAGCCACAGGCAGCACCAATCGCCGCAGGCAGCAGCAACAGCCACCGGCAGCAGCAACAGCCACCGGCAGCAGCAACAGCCACCGGCAGCAGCAACAGCCACAGGCAGCAGCAACCGCCGCAGGCAGTTAGGTTTATTTAACCTCAACCATATTCCAAGTTACCTCGGTGAGTCCGTTCCGGGCACGTACAACCCGAGCAGCGCAGCGTCGCGACCCTGACCGTGCTCCTTTACCACGCGGCCTCTCCCACGTCGCGGTCCACAGTGGCCAAACCAAGGCGTGATACCGATCTCCGGTCCGCCAACTCCACACCTGCAACACACAAATATTTAGTAATTTAAGAATCTGCAATTTGTTAATTGTACTTACCTTTGTTGTCAAATTGATGTGGATTTACCTGCTTCCGTCCTTTTTGCCCCCCGTTAAGTTAGGCAAATTTGCGGGAAGCCTTAGAAGTGAGGGAAACACTCAGGTCAATAGGGACTTTTCCTTATATAAATTTATACATACGCACGTCCCTTCTCATACCTCGGAGCTCCCCAGGAGTAGGTGGCCCCAAATGGTGCAGTAGACCAATCCCAGCCTGCTCAAAGTTTTATTTCCGCGGCGACTGTAGTCAGTTTCCTGACCCGATGGTACTACCGCTGTGACCCCTTAATTAATTTCCAAAACGCTGGTGCGTTTAGGGTCCCGCATGAAAAGAAGCATCCTTACCTGAAATTAATATAAGTTGTAAATATTAAATCGTAAGGGGCAAGTTGAAAATGATGGAGTAAATTATTTACCTGTTGGGGGAGATGGGCCGGTCGTAGACCGCCCGGCAGTAATTCCGGCCTCTGACGATGGGTGGTGCCTCCCTCGCGACACTAGGGACACCACAGGAAGGGTGGGTGCGCTGTGGCAGCCACATCTGATGCCATTTTTCCGTCATATTTGTCCCGATTTGTTTATTTTGGTCTTGTTTACTTTTTCGTTGTTAGAGATGTTAGTATTTGTAGAGTGAGACGTCGATAGTAATCGATGTTTAATGTTGTGGAAGCTGTAGGGACATTGGGGGTACTGCGCCTTGAGGATTCAGGAGCTAGCCGGCGCCGTCCCAGGATGATGCAGTTCCATAACATGTATATTAACTATTTTATTTATTAAATATACTTAATAATTAAAATAGTTAATATTCGATTACATTGATCAAATATTATATATTAAATATAAACATTAGTATACAAGTTAACACACCCAGTTCCCACAAAGACAAATTGTCAAGTTGCAGGCCATATCCGGTGGCCAACACGCGCAGTAAAGAAACCGCCGACTCTGGTCAGAGCACTCGCGGAGCGAGTGATCGCCACCGGCCGGATATCTGCTGCTGACCTGGCGCTTTACTTCTGGCGCTGGGAACACTTACTCAGCGGATGGTCGCCACCGGCCGGATACCAAGTGCTGACCCGGCACTTTAGCGGCAGCGATGCGACCAGGCAAAAGCCTCGAGCCGCGGCCGGACCGGGACCTTAAGTTAGTCTAAATTTGTACTCCGCAGCCTTAGCTGTGTTTTGTAAATCAAGTCTTGTTTATCCTCTACCTTAACAGGTTTAGGAGTAATAAATAATAAACTTAATATCGCACCGTGTCTTTATTATCCTCTGCCTTAACAGGTTTAGGAGAAATAGGGATTAATTAAATACCAAATACCAAACCAAAACAACTGGCGCTCAACGTAACCGATCCCGCGATACTCGGTACCGTGCGAATTACAAAAAGTAATTTGCGATTCAAAAGTATTAAAAATACTCGCGCGACACCGTGCAGTGAATTTAAAAAAATAATAATAAATAAATAATTAAATTGCCTATAAAATACAATAGAAAAACGGCAAAATAAATAAAGCAAATAAAGCATCGATATTGGCAGCAGAGACATATAAAATTAAACGCTAAGAAATCAGCGACGGGAAATAAAGGGGAACACAAGACCTCTCACCCGCCACCCGAGAAACGACAACGACGGCAGCAGCAGCAGCAACGACAGCGTTAACAACAACGACAACTGTAGCGGCGACAGAGACGACTGCAACGGCGGCAGAGACAACAGCGGCGACAGAGACAACTGCAGCGCCGGCAGAGACAACTGCAGCGACGGCAGAGGCGACTGCAGCAGAAAAGGCGGCAGAGAAGGCAGCGCGTGCAGAGCCAACAAATAAAAAATCTCGACGGCGGAGTAACCATAAGAAATGTGAGTAGGCTTCTTGTCTTTTTTTTCACTCGCCAATAAATAAAGTATTCGGAGAGCTAAAATTGCCGGTACAGTGGGCACATTATTATTTTCCCCACACAAATTTTTTTATTTTTAATTAATAAATAAATAATAAAGTATTCGGAGAAGTAAAATTGCCGGTACAGTGGGCACACATTATTATTTTCCCCACACAAAATTTTTGTTATTTTTGAACAAATGAATTATTAATTGCCAAGTGAAACAAGGAGTGTTTTTCTGGAAATATTAAAATATTAAAATAATAATAAAATCTATTAACGGTGGGAGCATTAGTATTCCCCGTGTATTAAATTTTTATTTCAATTAATAAAATGAATTATTAATTAAAACAAATAAAATTTTTCAAGATATTTAAAAAAAAAAAAATTTTTAAAATTACCATTCCCACATCTAATTGTCGGAGTGAGAAAACATTAAAACTCATCTACACAATATTCAAGAAAGCTCTTGATCGGATTTCGTCGCACCCATAGAAACTGGCGCTACACATTTTTATATGAATTTTTTTTTTTCTCTTCTACTGTCGTTGTGGAAAAAAATAAATATTGAAAATAAATTATTCTCATGAAATATTTCGAAATACGGGCCTATGTATAGGGTTAACGAGGGGGTTTAATCGGACGAGGAGGTTCTCGAGGAATATAGGAAACTCTTAAATACAAACGTAAAACATAAAAATTACCAACATTCCGAGGCAGATTGCCCATCTGGCAGTAGGGCAGTATTCATTCGAGACAGCGTTCTCAACGTCACAAACCCAGAAACCCAGCAAGAAGCACAAGATATGCAAGCAGAACAGATTCACGAATCCAAACATTCGAAGAAATTAAATTAGAACCACAAAGAGTACGTTGTGATGAACCTCTTGACATGGTCAAGTCAGTCCCAGAATTCGACGGTAAACAAGAAAATGATGTTTGGTGGAGACAAGCTGCCACCGCAGCCTACAAAGTATTTGAGGGCTATGAAGGCAGCAGCCGACATTATCAGGCTGTCGGAATACTGAAAAACAAAGTAAGGGGACCAGCGGCTGCTGGGCTATCCTCTTTCAACACGGTATTCAATTTTCATGCCATACTGGCAATGAGCCAATGGAGGTTGATACCTCCTCCAGATTTAGGCAGCCCACAACATGGCAAAAAGGGCAGTCGGCACGGTTTCAACAAAAAATAAACTTCATGCCGGAGGAAAAACCCGACGACGAAGATTATGACTCCAATGCCCAGGCCTGCGCTACTGAGATGGAAGACGAGTTAGACGCAGAGGACTCCTGTAATTTTTTAGGGTAAAGTCCCTGCTCCCCTAAATTACGCGTAAGGTAGCAGGAAGTGAAATAAAATTACTACTAGATACAGGCACTTCCAAAAATTATATCACTCCACTCCCGGGGCTAAAAGGCATCGTGGCGGCGGAGAAACCTTTCACAGTGAAATCAATACATGGCTTCACCAAAATAGACAAAAAATGTCTAGTTTCAGTTTTTAACGTAAAAACACCCTTTTTTATATTAAATAACCTTAAAGACTTTGACGGTATTATCGGGCTCGACTTGCTTAAACAAGTGAATGCGAAACTCGATTTTACTGACAATATCCTGCTTACAAACAATGGAACTGAAAAGATCCAGTTTACTAAAGCAGAAAATTTTAACTTTATAAAAATCGATGATGAGGATGTTCCCCTGGCAATTAAAGCCACCTTTGACAAAATGATTGTAAAAATTCATTGGGCCTTCGCCGACCCAGACGAAGCATTGCCGTTTAATATAAACACGATCGCCACGATTAAAACATGGGTGTAACCGAATTCGTCAATGCAGAGGTTAAACAACTTCTTGCGGACCGCGTAATAAGGCCATCCAAGTCCCCATATAACAACCCTACCTGGGTTGTAGACAAAAAAGGCACAGACCAAAATGGCGTTAAGAAGAAGCGATTGGTTATCGACTTTAGGAAGTTGAATGAAAGAACCGTAGATGATAGATACCCTATCCCTACAATTTCGACAATATTGTCGAACATGGGCGAGTCACAATTCTTTACGACACTCGACCTCAAATCAGGTTTTCACCAGATAGAGCTGGCGGAGAAGGACAGGGAAAAGACTGCCTTCTCTATAAACAACGGCAAGTACGAATTCTGTAGATTGCCATTCGGACTCAAAAACGCCCTAAGCATATTTCAAAGGGCCATCGACGACGTGCTTAGAGAAGGAATCTCTAAGTTATGCTACGTGTACGTAGAGGACGTCATAATATTTTCTAAGACAAAAGAGGACCACGTTAAAGACGTGGATTGGGTACTAACCAAACTCCTGGAAGCAGGCATGAGAGTATCCCAGGAAAAATCAAAGTTCTTTAAAAAGAGCGTTGAGTACTTGGGGTCACAAGGGGGGCTTAGAACTTCACCTGAAAAGGTAAAAGCCATAAAGGAATTTCCCCAACCAAAAACACTTTTCGACCTCAGATCCTTCCTGTGGCTAGCAAGCTACTACAGTGCTTTATCAAAAACTTCGCGACAATCGCAAGACCCCTGACAAACATCCTAAAGGGAGAAAATGGGAAAGCCAGAAAATACCAGTCAAGGAAAATTGACATAGATTTCACCAAAGAACAGAGAGAAACTTTTGACAGACTAAGGGAAATCTTGGCGTCAGAAGATGTTCTGCTCTCGTATCCAGATTTTAAGAAACCATTCGATTTAACAACGGATGCATCGGGCTTTGGTTTGGGGGCGGTGCTATCCCAAGATGGCCGCCCAATCACAATGACTGCGAAAAAAATTATGCGACCAATGAACGAGAACTCCTCGCCATTGTTTGGTCACTAAAAAACCTCCGGAATTACCTTTACGGAGTAAAAGGCTTACAGATTTTTACCGATCACCAGCCACTAACCTTTGCTGTCTCGGACAAAAATCCCAACGCGAAGCTAAAACGTTGAAAGGGGATTATTGATGATCATGGCGCAAAACTAGTTTATAAGCCAGGCAAGGAAAACCTTGTGGCGGACGCATTATCCCGCCAGAACATAAACGCCTTAGAAGACGGACAGGAATCAGATGCAGCCACAATACACAGCGAACAGTCGCTTACGTACACGATTGATACAACTGACAACCCAGTAAACTGTTTCCGAAATCAAATAATAATTGAGGACGGAAACAGCTTCTCGGTAGACACATTTATCTTGTTTAAGAGTAAGGTGAGGCATACAATTAGAACACCTAATCGGGAAAACCTTCTAAACGCACTACAAGATGTCGTAAACGCTGAGGTAGTAAACGCAATTCACTGCTCCCTATCAACATTGGCATTTATTCAACATCAGCTGGTCGAGTCGTTCCCTAGCACTTCCTTCAAGTACGCGAAGAGTTTTGTTCAGGACATAACGGACACAACCGAACAGAGGGAGATCGTCATAACAGAACACAACAGGGCTCACCGAGCTGCACAGGAAAACGTGAAGCAAATCCTTAGAAATTACTTTTTCCCAAAAATGCTTCGGCTAGCAACGGAAATCACCTCAAACTGCAGAACCTGCTCTATGGCAAAATACAAACGCCATCCATCTAAGCAGGCGATAGCGGAAACACCTATTCCCTTTTCCGTGGGAGAAATCCTACACATCGATATCTTCTCAACAGACGGAAAACTTTTCCTCACTTGCGTAGATAAATTCTCGAAATTCGCCACAGTGCAAGCCATCGCATCGAGGACAATTGTGGACATTAAAGCCCCCTTCCTACATGTAATAAATTTTTTCCCAAAAACAAAAACAATCTATTGCGATAATGAAAGATCACTAAACTCTGAAACCATTAAATCAATTTTGCTAAACCACTTCAATATAACCATTTCCAACGCTCCACCCCTACATAGCACCTCAAATGGGCAAGTGGAGAGGTTTCATGGTACTCTGGCAGAAATAGCCAGATGCCTGAAACTGGAAAACAAACTAAACGACACTATCGAA